GCCATTCGAATTTTGTACAAAAAATGTTATTAATGATTGTGATTGTAATCGTCCAAATGGCGGATGTTCTTGCCCTTTAGTTCCATTAGTTTTCACGAATTTTTGGTAATCGTGTTGAAAAATTTTAATGGCCATTATTCATTTTTCTGCGCTGAAATGCTTTTAATGTGTTTTTCTTTTAATGTGTTTACACAATTATGCGACTCGAAAACAAATTCTACAATACATAAAAGAAGAATTTTCAAAGATGGTTTTTTTGCACAAAAAATCATTCTTTTCAAATACAATATACAAATAAAAGATGTTTCTTTAAAGCATTTGTGGCGAAATAATAACAAGAATCGATCGGTTTTGCGTGTGTGTTTGTTTCATTTTCAATGTCACATTGTTAAAGTGAGTCTGAGTTGTGTATTCTAAAATGGAAACATGACGATCAAAGCAATTCATTTGAAATTCGGTTTGTCATTGGTCGAAAACCGTTGCTTTGAATACAAATGAGATTTGATTTCATAAATTCACAAAACCCGCTCGAAATACCAGAAAATATCATACGTGCCATACCAAGTCCGAACTTAAAAATTTATTGAATCATTTTGCTTCCACTTCACATATTAAATGGAATGTTACTTGCCGTTTGATGTTATATTTTGAGCTATGCGAAATGATGATAAAAGAAAGTGTCTTTGTTCTGTTTGAGTATATGTGCGTTCTACTCGTAGAATATTCCATTGTGTTATTTTAAGATTAGATACGTGACATGCTTTTGTAGTTCTTTATAAAAGTGACTAAGATTTTAAGATTTCTCGGATTAAATGAATTCAGGTAGATGTTAAATGATTTTTGTTACATATAATGTGACTAAATGAATAAAAAATTTGTTTGTGTTTAAAGTAGTTTTAGCAGAAAATGTTAAAAAAGATTATTATCTAGATTCGTAATAACATGCAAAATACTGATGACGCACGATTCTCGCGCTTCGAAATTATACCGCGTTTACCGCACATGCTATACCCATACAATACTACTGGCTATCGATTTTTATATCACAAACATTGACTAATAGAAAATTGTTGAATAAAAAATATATTTTTTCTATCAGATCCTTCTTTTATCGAATCGTATTGTACCCAATCAGTTTTAAGTAAACATGTTTCAGCATCTGATATTTTGTTTAAACCGAATTTCATTGATTATTTTCTATCAAATTAGAGCTTTATAATTTACTTCATTACATTTAAATCTTATAAAATTAACATTGATCATGCAATACTTTTGGGTATCAAATTCGTAATAACGCGAGTACTTGAACTTTTTTTTAATTATGTGCGATGAGTCAGATTGGCTAAGATGCTAAGCTCTTCCTTCTTTAAAGTTAAGTATTTAATCCATATCAATCTTTGACATATTCGTTGATGTTAGTCAATTGAAGATTAGTCTGCTTTTTGGAGTTTTTGGAGTTTCTTTGTGATAATTTCCAATATGTATAGCAGTAATGTGCGAAGGGGGGGGTAGGGGTTGTAAAAAATTTTTTCGCGAAAATTATTCGAATTTGCTAGGGTTTTTCATGAAAAAAGTGAAGACCTTTTTTTTTTTGTTTAGCTCATCAATGTAGAAAATTGAGGAGAATTCTTTAAATTTGCTAGGGTTTTTGGTTCAGAGAGATTTTTTTCCGATTTGCTAAGGTTTTTCGCGGAGAAAATTCTTTCGATTTGCTAGGGATTTTCGCCTCAAAAAGTGACTTCCAAAAAAAAAAAAAAAAAAAACGAAAATTTGTTTGATTTGCTAGAGAATTTTTGGTTTTTGAAAAATCACCCCCCCCCCTCCTGTAAAATGTAGCTCGCACATTACTGATATATAGTGTAATTATTTGAAAATAGAGCCGACATATAAAAAGCTTACAACAACTTAATCACATGAAAAAATCATTTAAAAATCATGTTCCTACGTTAATTTCTTTTGAGGCTCGAAAATGATTACGTTGCATAAAAAAATGCCAATCAAAAAACAGACTTTTCCACCAAAGAGTATGTAGTGATGTACCTTCGACCTGTCTAAAGTTACGAAATGCAATCTACAGACGATTGTATTATTTTTAATTAGTTTTTTAAACGGCTTAAACCCTCAGCCTAGTCCGCATCTCTAGAAAAATGCATAAAATTCCAAACCAAAAATGCGATAAATGAACAAAATCAAATATGTGGTTTTTGTTTTCATTTTCTTCGCCAAAGAAAAACAAAACTCATTTGTGTTGATTGATTACAACGTGTAATGAAAACCAAAAAAACCGCACTCATCAATTGTTGTCGCATTGAGAAGCGATGCAATCAGAACCTCATGAGGCAATAAATCTGCAGTTTTGCGTTTGGTGCGCACACCAGAGTCTGACGCCGTGAAAAATATTTTGCAATTTACGACCATTGCAAAAGAATTAAAATGTAAAAGAGAAAGGATTTTGTGTTGGTCATTTTTTGATAAATGATGATGGTGTATATTTATAATAATTTATCGGATATCGGCCACGTAAACGTGTAAACAACGCAATTGCATGAAAATTAATACGATTAGTGTATAATGATGGAGAATGCAGATTCAAAATAATCTTCGACTTGAGAATTTGCGGCTTATTTTTTTTTGGCCTGGGTGACTACGATGGTACTTTTATTGATCCGGTTTGATTTAATGTTCATAAAGACGTCTCTTAAATGATTTTATTAGCCAAAATTCAACCAATGCATGATAGAAAACCAGAGATAGAGAATGTGAAGACAACAATAAAGATTCTCATTTCACTGCAACGGTTTAATGTTTGGCATAAATGTTTTTAGAAGCGGCATATTTTTAGCTAAGCTATTATGCACACAAAATAGCCAAGGGCTTATTAATATTTTAGTGCCGTTTTTGCCGACTTAAAAGAATCATCTTTTAGCAAAGGTTTTCCTATACAAATTAATTCTCGCCAAGAACCTGGCTACGAGACTGGTTCGACTGAAAAATTGGACATGTTTTCAAGCGAACTCTTTTTTATTGTTCGAGCGAAAGATGCAGAACTTGCCGCATTTGCTCGCGTCGCGTGTGTCTGTGTCGGTGTTTGTGTGTGATGAGTCAAACGACTCTTTCAGGTAGCAATCAAGCTGTCAGAAAGAAAGCGTGACCGTGTGATGCTGTTGCTAGCGACGTCAATACAAAATATGTCTGAAAGAACGTTAATGAGAATGTGACTAACGTAAATCTGTTGAGCAATCGGTTGGAAAATTGCTGTTTTCTTGTTGTTTGCCGATGTTTCTTCACTTGTCTGTTTGCCGACATCTCTTTTCTCTTCATTTTTCAATCAACATGGTAATTATTTCATAAGTTTTACCGGACATTACTTATAGGATAATATGTGAATGAATACAAATCAATCATAAGCTGCGCGCACAAATAAACTGTTAAAATTGAAGTGAGAAAGAGATAGAAGGCATACGACACCTGAGAATCGATTTTGAAATGCCTATGAAATTATTCTAACTTCAATTTTAACGGTGTAATCTAAATCAGTTTTACAGTAAATTCTTTGCGTTTATCTCAACAAAGAATTGGACCAAATTTCATGGTAAATTTGTGTTAATGCCGGCAAATTGCTCGATTCTAATTTGCATGAAACTGGTCAAACAATTCCGTTTTTTGTTCGCCCATTTATATGCCTTCTTTTGTGAATTTGCATTTATCGCAATTCAATTGAATCGATTCGGTAAAAATTTGTGAAAAGAAATGCGAAACAAATTGTTACCCATGCTTTTATTAAAATTACCACGATTTACATTCATTTTGAAAAAAATATCCGAAAATTTTAAACTTTATTAAATTATTTCCAGCCTGAATTTAAATTGATTTTCGTTACCATTGCTCATAAGGTACTTGAATCTTCTAACGGAATTTTTATTCAATTTAAAATGTGATTTTTCGCTGTTTGTGATTGAGAGCATTGTTCATTTTAATCAAGCAAAAACAACCTAATTAATTCAAGTGACCGACGACGGATTGAGTTGCCTATCAAGTACACACACACTCGCGAAAAAAGCAAATACTTCACATACGCAAATAGAGTTGGTGTTAAAAATGACAATCAAATTGCCACTTGTGCGTGTTTATCTAGCTGAATAGTGTCAAGTCAAAAATCGTTTAATAGTTTTAAGAATCAAGAATCTTTCAATGGTGTCTGCTGTCTTTTGTATATTTATTTGTATGTGTCTTGTTGATGTCGTTTTGAATTGAAAAAAAAAAATGAAACTAAAAGACAAAGGCACTCAGAGATCGTTGTTGGATGTAGAGTGTGGGTAAGCTACTGACCTTTGTATGAATTGAATAAAAAAACGAGTCAACTTTTGTAAAATGTATATTTTACCTCTCTTGTTTCGTTCGCATTTCAATGGGCAATAGCATTTTTGTTTCAGCGAATTTGCGTAAATAGCATTGAAACATAAAACCCACGGAAAATTTACAAGAATGGACTCGATTGCTATATTATAAAGTAGTATTTTTTTTCTCTCTCTCTCTCGATGTATATTGTGTGCTGCAAGTACGTGTAGAAAAACAAAATTGTATGATCACCTTTTTGGTGCGTTCACAATATGATTTCATTTTTGAGTGTGGTGTTTAGCGTGGGTCTGCATACAGTTTGTGGTATTATTTGAAAGAGTCAACAGTACAAGCGATGGCATATAGAAAAATCTAGTCAAAACGACCACACGATTGCTGCATTATAACGAACAAAATATCGTAAAGTCATGTGTTTTTATATATGATGTGCTTCAATTTCTAAGTGTAAATTTGGCACATCAAACTGATCCATAACCACACATACATCGATGCAATGAAGACAAGAATAAAATGCTTAAGAAATTGGACAAAAATTTGAATACGAAATAGCAAAACGACCAGAGAAAAAAAAGCCACTCGTTTTATATGAAATGAACGTTGGCGTTATAAATCTAAAGTGCTATTGTAGCGAATGACCTTACCTTTCTGTCTTTCGAGTGTGGAGAAAACCAAAAAAAACGTCGCGCTAATGAGTCATTTACTCGAACAATTCTGCAAGCTTCAATACAGTTCGAAACGCTAACCAATTTGGTGTTCGAAATTAGTAACACTTCTCCAAAAATTAAAATATTTATTTATGCCCGTTTCTTTTTTGTCTTTCGTTTTATTCGGCAAATTCGTGTTCGGTAAAATAGCACTTTTTTCGTTATTTTATTGGAATCGCAGTCGGCGGCAAATGTTCATAATTCTTTAAATTTTTATTTTTCTTTTTAAATAAAAAAAATCGCACTTTATGTGTTATTTGCTTTTATCTTTATTCGGGATCCACTGCATTTGATTCACTTTAAAATGACCATAAAAGAAAGAAACAAATATAAATTAGTTGAAAAAAAAAATCGACGGCATTTCATTTGTGTTTGTAAGTTTTATGGTATTTGATCATGCGATCAAATATCATAAAAATCATTGTACATTTTAAATTGAAAACTGAGAAGAGAAACTGAAAACAAAACAACATCAGAACGTGTCTCAAGGTAGAGCCTCGAAATCATTGAAGCATAACCGTAACATACAATTGAAAACGGGTGGACGACGCATCGTCAGGTGAATATTTCACAAGTGCATGACATTGCCGGAGTCGAAGAAAGAAGATGTAACAGATAAACGAATTTTGCTCAAAGGGACTTTTTTTTTAAAAAGAAGAAGAAAAGGTATTGCACCATACACAGCATGAGCAATTGTGATGATGCGAACGCGCGTTTTTTTTTCTCATTGTGGAAAATTGGTATACAGCATGTGAATGCTGAAAGCGTCACCAAAATGAGTACAAATGAGTAAAGTGAGTGTATATGATCGGTTCGCTTGCTTATTTCATTCATTCACTTTTTTCCGTTGTTCAAAACATTTGTTGCCCATATCGTTTCTTAAGTCTCACTTTATTATGCAATATGTCATAACCATTTCGGTGTTACTACACACATATACACTTTAAATGAACGCTTGCCAGCTCTCGATCGATTTTAGCGCGTAACGAAAAATAAGAGAAACCATATGATACTTTTTTTCGGCAACAATTGTTACGAAACGCTCACATATTCGTCGTGTATCGTCCGATTTATCTTTTTCGACCATTCGCTTCATCTCTTTGAAGGTATATGCATAATGTTTTCGGTGTGTGGTTTTTCTAAAGTGTTTATTTTCATTTCGAATTGCTATGTAGATTTTTTTTCTACTCTTGTTGTTTTGGTGGTCTCGTGTAAACGGGAGCAAATGCCAAATAAATATTACGCGCAGGTATTACAATAGATTTCTAATGTATGTTAATTTGTTTTTCTTTGTAATTTTTAAATTCAGCCAAAACAAACACACATTTGCTTGATGTAAGTGTGTGAATAAATGAAAATTATGCACGACATTTCGAATTTGTTTTTTAATTAAACATTTTTTTTTCGGGAAGATTGATGAATTTGAAAGTGAAACGTTGATCGACCGATGCATTGTCGATGGTCAAGTAAAAGTCCATGATTTCGAAAGTGCTCTACATGCGACACTGAATATTAATAGTAATTTTAATTATTGATCGATTTTAACGGAAATTATTCTTTTCTTTCATTTCAATTTAATTTCTTCTAAATTCACTTTTTTCAATTCACAAACAGTTTTTTTGGCACAATTAATTTTTTTTGCTTTGGGAATTTCATGTAAGGTGAGTTTCGTGATGTCTTGATTAATGGAACTGAACATAGTAATTTAACACTTTTGTTGGATATAAAACTTTTAATTAAATTAGATTCTCAATCTAGTCGACGATTTAACCAATTACACTGTCAAAAAAATCCAACCGCAGACCAAGCCAAAAAATCATTTATCATTCACCACAAGACAAAAAATATAAATAACAACAAATAACCTCCATTAAAACTAACCAATTCAAATGTAGCTGAATTACAACACTCTTCTATATGGTAAAATCGTGTCTTGCACAAAACAATCGAGCAATTCAAAAAGTTCAACAGCACACGTATATTTTGTGCGCTCTGCACTGTTTGAATACCTGTACTCTACTGTCGATTTCAATGTTTTTTTCTCTACGAAAAACCATACACAATACTCTCGTTTGCGCGCGGTTTCGCTTCACTTCGAACGAATACCGAAAAAAAAAAAACGCTGGAAACGTAAACGTGAACAGTGAACACAAGCTTGCACGCTATATTTGTTGTTGTGCTTGTATTCTGTTTTGTTTATTCGCTCTATTCATATGGTATAGTTCGAGATAATACCATATACACAATTTGGTATTCGTTTAAATGACGCGATGACGTCACACAGGTGGAAAGACTCACTCGATCGATGTGCTTCTACACATACAATGGCGCATAGCTCTTTTGTGGTGTGATCGCGTGCAGAATACGAGACAGCGGTAAGATGATGTATTCACACCGTACAACACGCATAGAGATAGATACATCGAGAAAAAGAGACAATTGATATGAATACATTACCGTCCGAAAGTTTGTTCACGGCCGCTTTATTTTCTTCGCATTTTTCTCATCAATGAGATGTTTAAAATTCAAAACGTATTTCTATCGTGGCAACCAAACATTTGGCCGACAGTGTATAACAAAAGGGGAAAATAGATACAGCGAATGAATATTATATTCAGCACACGAAACAGATACGGGCGCAAACGGCAACTGAAGTCACGGCAGCTGGTGCTGCGGTATGCTGGCAAATGAATTGTTATTATTATCATTTTTCTAGCTGAATTTCGATCCGTTGATCGATGCGGCGGTGAATCGAATGGAGAGCGATAATATTCGCTCATTTTGCCAGTGTTTCACTGGTGTCAGTTAAAAACATCTTATTACAATCGCAATTACGAGACGCTAAATGTGTTTCTATTCTCTGGTCCGGTTGTGAGAGACTGATCGTGAAACACCGCACACGCTATTAATCAATCGATGATGATTCGACAGCGAACGAAAGAGCGAGAAATCGAACAATTCGCTAACCCATACACGGTTCGATATCTTATGGTAATGCAATGCCCGTTCAAGTCATTTACCGCAATACAATGCACTTAAAGCAAACTGTTCATTGCACGTATCTTTTATGCACCATTGAAGCTGGAGATGAATTGAATTTCATTTTGCATCGCTCAAAAAAAAAGCCACACGATTTTATGGTTGAAGAGTATTTAATCGGAATTATTTGTTCTAAGTAAAAACAGTTTTTCTATTTTTCATACAACATTCATCTCTTTGTTGCGTGCGACTAGAGAGATGCGCTATTCTTGTACGGTGTGTGGATTGAATTGTGATGCAATGCGCACACACCATTGCAATCGAAAGAGAAAGAATTTCTGCATCAGCCAATTAAAGGTCATTACGATTGTATAATGTGAATCGAATATCTTCGTTTCAGCGGATGTTGTTGTTTCAAGCAAGAGAGACAAAGAGAGTCTTCTGTCTGAGTTTGAGCACTTATTTTATGAGACGATAAGCTTTGTAATATAGATCACCACAGTTCACACAATTTTGTACGGAAAACTTGTGTTTCACGTGGCTTTTTTTTCTTGTAGCTCTTTCAAGTATCATGCAGTTCGTTCTCGGATGGTTGTTCTCGTTCGTGCAATGCAATAGAATTGACCAATTTGTTTTATGCAAATTCAAATGACATAATTGCATGTAAAACCTTGATGACCGCTTTTACGATCGCACATACACACGAGTAAGTGCAAATACAACATGGCACACACTGTGTATGTCGCGATGCGACACAGCAATCTAAAGTAACAAGCAAAATGAATAAACCAACTGCAATTAGGTGTAATTTGTCGAGATAAAGTGAAAACAAGAAATATATATATAGAAGTAATCTATGCGGTTCTTTCACATGAAATCAGCTGGAATCCCAATAGAAATTTATCTAATGAGGAAGAAAATCGCAGCATAATTGAACATTTAGAAATGCATACGGTATAAATATTTTGAAAATGATCAATTTTTTTTGTTTGAAAAAAAGAGCAAACAGAGTACTAATGCCGATTAATTCACTCCGCACATTCAACTGCTTTCGTTTCGCATTTGTTCAGTTCAATGGTGCGATTATAAGCAAGCATCTTTGACTTTGTCTGCATAGTGCCGCGCATTTGGTATATGAAAATGAATGCAGATTTGTAAATTATCGAGTCATTATAAAATGGGAAAGCGAATGGAGAATGACGACGATTAAAAAAAACGACGATATTGCTTTAATAGAGAAGATTCGTGCGGTGATTAGTGTCCGACTCCGACTGCGTACGATCATTATGCCCGACACAAGATAAAGCCATTTGCAACAAATTCATCCGAAACACACAAAAAATTCCATTTTCAGACACCGACGATTTTACGCTTATTTGTTTCACGTCAGGTTTGATTTTGCCAAAGAATATACATTATGTCGTCCCTTCTTCAAGCGCAAATAAATGCGATTAGATTTGGCATGAGCACGTCGACGAACACACACACACTTTTTTTGGTGGTTTCACATTTGTTGCTGTCAACTTAAGTGCGACTTTTAATGTTCCATTCGCTTTTCGTGGAATTTCAAAATGAATTTGAAACCAAAACAAACAACAACAACACAAAAAACTTGAAATCGCCGTGTCTCAATCCATGGAGCTGTGCAAAAATGCGAGCCAAATGCATGAAAAAGGGTCAATTTGTGTAAATCAAATCGATGCTGTTCGGTTCACATGGAGCGCTTAAGAATAATTGCGCTTTTAAGTTGTTTGCCTTGATGCAAGTGTCATTCGATTTTGCAGTGTGCGAAAATAAATATCGATTCTTACGGTTTAAAGTGGTTTTTCGAAATTGAGAATTGCATTTACTAATGATGTCATGGATATTTGAAATTGAGTAATGTACGCTTCACCGTATGTGAATATAAACTTTGCACAAGTGGCAAGCGCGTGCAACACCATAATAAAATCATCTCTTGGAAATTTATAATGAACGTAAGTAACCATATATCCGTTGAATTTTTTCGCTTCGATGCATCTTCATCATAATGAAATTATGAATTGCAGTCGATTGCATTTTGTTCTTGTCAACCATGAATATCGTTAGATGTATGATTATAAACTATTGAAATGGAAATTATATTGAATTTGAAAGGAAAAACATAAATTGGTATTTTCTATTATTTTTTTCTACCGATACTTGCATATCAGTTCATTATATTAAATCGCGGTTCATTGCAATTATTTGCAAAATTACATAAAATTCGCCAATCGACCAAAATTGAACATTATCATTAGGCTGTAATGCAATCGCTTATATAAGAGTCATGTATGTGTACTTTTGCACAAAAAATTTACGATTATACGTATCGGACATCGCAAAACGTACACACACATATTCACAATTTATTAGACGTGACCCGATGTCAGATACATCATAATTTATTTTCGCTATTATCGTTTTTAAAAAATGCACTTCTAATCGTTTCTATCGGATTGGTAACTGAATTACTCAAGTTGAACCGAAAACGCGATATGAAACGTATGTTTTTGTGAGTTTCGTGGAAACGATACATCAACGATATCAAAATGTCAATTATTTGAACATAACTTTTCTGCAAAACATCCGAACAATGTGGACAAACACATAACGATGAATAAAATAACGAACAAATAGCAAACGATGATATTTACTTTTGCTTTTCAAGAATTCACAAAAAACACGAAAATAAAATCGCTTCAAAATAAATCGCCTGCTGGTTAAAGTGGCTGCGCAAATGTGCATCGCAAATGATTTGTGATAGCATTGCGATTAAATAATATTTGTATTGCACGATTTGTTATTTTTTTTTTCATTCTTTCTCTCTCTTTCTTTCGACTCTCGCTCTCTGCCGAACACTCAAGACATTTTCACGTGCACATAGAATCGCTGCATGTGCATTATTTTTATTTATTTTTCGTTCAATTATTTGCTTTATTCTCCCCCATTTATCGCTATTTCGTGTGCGTTGCACGATGGTGTGCAGAATTGAAAACGAAAATTTTTGCCCAGCAAAAATCATCCATGGCTTTCGTTGATTTTTATAAAAGTTATATTTTTTGCTTGTCGTGTATATGATAATCTAGTTGAGTGCAAATATACACACAAACAGTGAGTGCACTTACAAAACAAACTCGATGGGTTCGCGAGTCGAAGTGGAGATGTTCTCTTGCGAATGCATTTGTTTGTATTCCACAAGATGCACCGCTAGTAAGTGTAAACGTGAAAAGTAAACTTTCTATTTTATATTTATAATATGATGAAGAAGAAGAAAAAAAGTCATATCCATGGGAAAAGAGCCGTTTAGTTTATGTCTCGACCCGTTGCACTTTGTTACATTATTTGTTGGTTAAATTATAGTTGAAGTATAATATAAAAATGCATTGCTTTCATAGACGCGTTGCTCTCATGGAAGACTTTCAATATGGCATGAGCAATGGGGCGCGCGATTTATGTGCATTTTTCAAAGATCTTGCACGGTATGTGCATCAAAGCTACTGTTATTTATTAATTAGAAATAATCAGAATCTATGGGCACGAGTGACTTTTGTGCATGAACATAAAAAACAGCCCGACCGATCGACAGCCCGAAAGTGAAATCTTCACTTTTGCAATTGTATTTAAAGAAATGCGCAAACACTTTCCGAAAGAGTCTCTTTGTTTGAAATTTTTAAGCTGCACAAGTTTTTATTGTATGTTAATAGAGAAAATCACATGGAAACAAGCGTTTTATTTATTGCATTAAATATATAAAGGCATAGCATGCGAAAATGTGTAATTAAAAGGTTTTTTTTTTTTTTTTTCAAAAAAAATGTATAATGCTTTTAATTGAATTTGAGTGCCAAAAGCAAATGGAGAAAATCTGAAAACTTCGTGTGATACATTATTTCGATAATAATAATTCGAGAATTTTTCAAACAAAAGCGAATCGCGCACACGGTTTATGGATGATTAAAAGGTTTAATTATCTATTCTGTTTTAAATGAGAAGAATTTCACGTAATTTC